TGGGGTCATTATGGGGGAACTCAAGATGAGTCACCCTTAGGACTAATGGACCTTAAAGTTGACCCTGGGTGTTGTTCTAGGGCTTAAGGTACATATTTGAACTCACAATCACTCATAATCCTAAACTTAAACTTGTAGGCTTTGATACTTTTGGGAAACTCATGTAGGTGGTCCCCTAAACCCACTAGCCCTAGGCTAGGGTTTAGCTAAGCCCACTACATAGAGGACCCAAAATGGGGTTTCCATTGGTCCATGGCTTATTGATGGTGGTTGACACTCCAACTCTACCAAGATACCCAACCTATCCTTTTGCCCCTAAATTCCCCCCAATTTACCTAGATACCATTGGGACCCCAAATTCGGTAACTCAGAAGACACATGCTAAAGTCCATCCAAAAGCCTTTTTATACTTGTTCAACATTTCTATCAACTTTTGTTCTTGAATTTCAGTTAACTCAGAAGATATAATAACAGACAATGTAGATGACTCTCCTAAAAATACATACTTTAAATGAGCAGGTAATATCTTTATTTCAATTTCAGATGGATTAATACTTGAAGGAATAAAATTTTTACTATCGTTTTCCAACAAGTCTAACGTTTCAAATTTGCCCCGAATATAATCCAAATCTTCTCTTTTTATTTCAACATCATTTTAAAAAATTTCTCCTTGCTTTAATTTATCTTCACACTCATTCTTAAATTATTCATTACTCAGATAATCAGCTACTTCCATCTACTTCCATCCATTATCTTTTTCTATTGCAGGATATTTTATTGCTTAACTCTCATTATTAATTCTCCTTTTTTCACATCTATTACAACTCTTTTTGTTGCAAGAAATGGTCTCCCTAAAATAATAGGAATCTCTTTATCTTCCTCCATATCCAATACTATAAAGTCTACAGGGAAAATAAATTTATCCACTTTTACTAATACATCCTCTATAACTCCTTTAGGATAAGTTATTGATCGATTAGCTAACTGAAGAGTTACAGTAGTGAGGGAAATCTCTCCCAAATCTAAATATTTAAATCGATAGAGGCATAAATATTGATACTCGATAATATTGATACTCGCTCCTAAATCACATAAAGCTTTTCCATAAAACTTTTCACCAATTGCACAAGATATAGTAAAACTACGAGGATCTTTTAATTTTGTAGGAAGTTTTTCTGAATAATAGCACTACACTCTTCACTGAGTGCAACTGTCTCATGATCTGTAAACTTCCTTTTCTTATTTAGTACATCCTTCATAAATTTCAAATAATTTGGCATTTGTTCGAAAGCTTCAACAAAAGGAATATTTATCGTTAATTTCTTAAGGATTTCTAAAAAAATTGTAAATTGTTTTTCTTTATTTCTCTGCTTCAGTCTTTGAGGAAACGGAGGTAATGGTTTTTCTAAAGGAACCTATATTTATTCATTTTCCATTTCTTCCTTCTCTTCATTAACTTCAGTTTCTCTTTGGATCCTTGTTTCAACTTCTTTTCCACTTTGTAATTGAATAGCTTTAATTTGCTCTTTATTTTGATCTTTTGAATTAACTTCCACAGTACTCGGAAGAATTCCAGAAGGCCTGTTACTGTAGTAGCAATATGTTCTAATTGATTTTCAATATTTCTAATAGCAGCCCCATGATTTTGTATTTGATTTCCCATATTCAAAATTACTTCTTTCATCGTCAACTTCTTTTCCTTAACTTGTGCGTTAGGATTGGAGTTAAATCCTGTAGGATAATAAGGTCAAAAATTAGGATTTCCTTGATTATTCATATTTTCATATTGATTCACCGAATTATTATAATTATTGACTGTTATAATTATTCCAATTAATATTAGGGTGATTTTTCCATCCAAGGTTAAAATAGTTAGAATAGGGATTGTTATTTTGATTATTTATAGCATTTAAAGTTTTATAAGACGGTTGAGTATCAATAATCTGTCCTAGTGAATTTTCCTCTAATACTGGGGGTATTTGAGAATAGTTCACTCCTATTTGAT